ATTCAAATAACCTATCCACTCCAGCTTCCCCCACCCGAAGATGACTACTAACTTATACCGGTAGATTTCTCTCATCCATCAAAATAAGAACCAGCCAAAACGTTTCAACGAAAGCACAGACGAGATATCGACCGAGCCCGACCAAAAACCTATGCACAAAAACAAGGAATATTTGCGGGAACTTCCGAGCCGCTGTCTTTCCCTTGGGATCCCAGATTCGATCTAAGTTCTTACCATCCTAACCTAGCACCCGGTACCGGTATCGCCCAACCGGAATAGCAAGAAAGCTGTTGCCCAGAAACCTTTCTGTCGGCTAATCCGTGATTTCCTGGAAACTGACTCTGATCATCTCGCCTGTCCACTTGATTAGGCCTAGCGTCCGTTGGTAGTGATTCTTGAATTTATCTTCTGGAGGACTGGTTCTGGGGGCTGATTTTGGGGGTTAGCTATTTTAGCTTGCTTACCGGTTCGGCGATAGTTTGGATACAATATTTGATTGAAATCTGTGATTGAAGGGGAAATCCCACCAGTCATTATTCTCGGGGTAATACATTATCCTAGGCCTAGCGAATCGGAATGTAGCTAACCGATCCCCACACCGACCAAAGTAAAAAATAAAAAGCGAAAAACGCTGCCGTATCATCTGGTTCCGGACCATATCCATTGGGTGCTCGCGGTCTCGCATCCGGACAAAAAAACACGAAAAATCAGGTCAAATACTAATCTATACACCACTAATTCAGCTTAGATTTGCTAATCCTTAGCGAGATGATTTCAACGCATCCTGGTCTGCTATCCGGGCGCTGCTGGCCCTGTCGCGCCAGCCAGTGTTTGCCCACACGGACTAAATTCGTGGCGATGTCCTTTCCGACACTTGAGCCTGCCGCAGTGTGTATCCTATCGGCCCCTTTGAGCGGCAACACGGCCCGGCGATCACATATTTGCATTGTCGTCCAAGCGTTGTGAATCTCCGCCGGAAATATCTCCACCTTCCCGGGGTATTCGGGGTTCCAGGTTCCGCTTCAGATGGCGACTAATGGGAATGAGCTTTCAGCTAGGTAAATTCAATCCTGGTTGGAGTCCCGCACGCCTTGCATGTGCTAGGCCCACTGGGTATCAGGACTTCCCCATCGGCCGAGTTCCCCCCAACCTCGCGGCAACCCCCGACCATTCGAAAATGGGACTGGATTCTCAGACAGGACACATTCCTTCACAATATTGTAGTGTCGCCAAATTGCCCCGGGCAAAGGTGATGGTACCTCAGGTTAGAAGCCATGACGGGAACACACGAGGATTGTAGCCGGGAGCCCGTTTGACAGGGCGCAGCAGTTAGAAGATTGCGATAGTATCCAGCTTATTGAAGACCCGACCGAACACCACCGCTGCATGCGATAGCACGGCCCTACACGAGCATTCTTTCTGCAAGGGACCCCGGCTACCGGGAGCTTACTATACCCCTTCCTCCTGGATAAACCGACGGGGTTTGGTTTTTGCGGCATCGGAGTTTCGGGAATCTATCCTGCGGAACGTGCAAAGCCGACTCTTGGGGGCAAGTCGCAGCGCTGTGCCCCGGGTCGGTTCGGGCAATACTTGAACTCTCTATGGACGTTCTGGGGTGGGCGGTCGATTGCCTACCGGTCCACTGCTCTCCTATGGTGGGCGAAGCGACAACCGGATTAGGAAGCGCTCAAGTCTCAATAGTGCCCGAAGACTTATATCGACACTCCCTTTCTGATTAAGCGCTCCAGAAATGTCCCCGGGTATGTCCGTCGGGTTCAGGAATGTGTGGACCAAATTGTTTCGAATGAGATTGTTTGAGGGAATAATTCGTAGGGGAATGGAGGGAGGATGGTTGCGAGACGGGAAGACGGATTAGTCTAATACGGGATGCGGTTGATCAGTATGAGGGCCCCTGTGCCCCTTGATAGTGATTTTCGGATTCATCTTAGGTAGGAGTGGTTGCGAAATGCATCTGCCCAAGCTAGCCTTTGGTTTATCTGTCAGTTTATTGGGGGATAGCTAGTTGTACAATATCCATGTTCCGCGATACTGGGATAAATACATTTGATCAAACCAGGTACTAAGTGCACTCCATAAGATAGAAGCTCTCAGGTCTGTCGAGGAAACCGCCATGGTCAATCAGCCCAGTTCATCCATAGATCCTGACCAAATCTTGAATCGTAGGCGCTTTAGTGTGAGGCCATGGAACCGTCTCGGCTTTCTTAGGTTCACGTTTATGATAACAGCTTGCTGCTCCTAACCCCAATCCAATCCTGTTCTCTCGTTTCTAGATTCTTCTTAAAGCGCTTGCAGATTCACCATATTTTGTTGGCTTGGCCCAGGAACAGGAACGTGGGGTTCTTTCGGGTAGATCGGTATCTAGGTAAGTAAATCGTCTGCGATACCTCTGGTCAAATAGGTTTCCCAGTGGGTCCTCCGCTCTGACTTCTACGACAACAGTTCAGCCAACCCCCCCCTTAGGACAAGCACCCGAAACGACCCCCATATCCACCCGTTAGTAGCGCGTCTCGCATTCGGTGCACTTAAAGTCAAAGAATCCGGGAGGATGTGCTAGAGCAGCAATAGATCGAATCCTAAACTGATTGCCACTCATCTATACCATTAGTTAGTACCACCTCGTCTGCCTGATCAAAAAGAAAATGACTCTTTCAGATCGTCAACCACTAGTGGACTCACCTCCACCCCAATGCCTTGGGTAGGTAAATAACCGGTCCGGCAAACTTCGCGGTAACATGTCTCCCCATGAAGTCTCTTGAAAGATTGCCGCAAGCAAGCCACGGTGCCAAGTACACCCATGTCTCTATTCGATAATCGAGTGTCAAAACACCCGTGAGGGAATTCCGAGGACAAAAACAACTATGTACCGTGAGCATCCTTGTCCGGATGAGCCCCCCATGATAGTGGAGGCGAAGGCCCTCTACCAGCGATAAAACCTTACCTCGACCGCCTTGTCGAGATTTGAGGATTTAATGGCAAAGTCGTTCGTAAAGGCCCCGTGAGGATGGTAAGATATAGCCGCCCAAATGGATGGGTTTTCATGAGTGACGATGGACTTTTCCTTTAGTTAACTAGGCCGGCATGAATTGTTCATGCTAACCGGAAAACATCTTCCAACGGGTGGACGGGAGGCTCTCGGTCATGGCTGGGATCTTTCCTCACGGTGCTTTTCTGTTGTAGTGAGGAGGCGGCAAAGGACTTCAACGGTCGTACCTGGGAAATCTACCGTGTCATGCCCCACCCGAGCGAGCGGGGGACATGGGAAGCTGTCAACAATAAAGTAAAGTAGTGATGGAGGACGTAAAGTGGGAGTACGAAGAAATCATACCTATTTTCTTTCCTAACCTCAATTTTAAACCCCAATTTCTCTCTCCAACCGCTTCGTCAGCAACCTGTTCGGTGGGGAAACCAATAGCCTCCTCTCGAGGCTCCCCACGCAAAGAGCCCCTATGAGGCTCTTACCTACGGTACTCGAGTAGGCACTGGCAGTAAAGAAAAAAATAAAAAAATCATTAGGACCAAGTTATACGTCTGATCGATAGAACAAAGGTAGGATAAATAACCCCATTGAATAACCCTCTACAATTTGTTTGTCTATTCCACTCGCTCCCCACTCTTCCTCACGATGTCCGACAACGCGACTCGGATAACGTATTGGAATGAAAACAACTATTCCTTCATCTCGTATTCGGTACCCGTAAAGAGCGACCACCTTCTGCCTACCACCCGGGATTATTATTGCGGCGGCAGATTTGGCGAAATAAATTTCTCCCCTCACAGCAAACGCTAGGGGTTATGGGCAACCGACGGTGAGGGCAGCTAGACTAGGTTGGATTGAATCTTTGTGTCGGGAGTAACAACCTCGTCACCACCCGCGGGAATACTAGGCTATAATACACGAGGTATTACACTTCGAGGGGTCTGGCGTTTTTGGTGGGCTGGCCGCTGCAGTACCGCGCTACTGGTACCATCATCATGATCACTGGGTGAGATTGTGGCTAAGCCGTACTGGCATACTCGAGCAGTGGATCATAGGGGATTAAGCGAGATACACTTATTCCGCATGCGGTGTGCTCGCCAGTCATGGATCATGGGTTGTGTTACTCCTACATTAATTTAGATGTGAACCTAGACTGTTTAGAGGGTGGGATATTAGTAGGGGAGTATCGGGTGTAACGTGATTTTGAGAGTAGGTCATTAAATTTATCAACCGTCAGCGCAGGCATTTTCTTAATTCCAGTGCCTGGTCACCAGCTCTTATGTCCAGCAGATCACCCTCGAGTATTATACAGTGTCCAAATTAGATATAAAAAAAAGAGGAACTGCTATAGCACCGAGACAATAAAACTCCATTCCGGAAAATTGCAAACCCCAATCAGTCCATCCCAGATGATTATTGACAGTAGAAACCAAAGACAGGTTTTAGTAGACATCAGTATCGACACGTCGCTAGAGCAGGAAAATCGCAGATGACGAACACCAGGTATGAATGACTTCCGCGGGTTAGTGGGTATCGAGGAAAGAAAGAAATTTGGGATATATCAGGGCATCTATTATTATTTTCAGAGAAACAAATGGCGTTGCATCGGATATAACCTGTGTGAGAGACCCCTTTGAAGGTTTAAACTCGATGGCTAAGCACGGGGGAGGCGTTCAAAATTGCAGAAGATGGGGCTGCGGACAACAAATGAAACAGGAAATTTCGCCATTACTCTGCGTAAATATATGAAAATTCTAATGAGGGGAAGGATGCGAAACAAACATGTACCCCAGAAACATGGTAGGCGCGATAGAGTGAGGAATGAAGTGCATCGTAAGCGAAAAAAATCAAGCGTGTGATATCATACCAGCCAAGTGAAAAGGAAGTAGAACAAGGCTAGGCAACAAAGAATATAAAGGAAACCTCGGATTTGAAAAACAAAATCGATTACCACAAGGTGAAGATTTGGGCGCTGTATCCCATCCCCGGTAATCTCCGCTTGTCAATCACCCTCAAACTGACCACCGTGCCAGGCTGGCTCCACAGGGAGCCCAAATGGATTGGCCATAGGATCCTCGCCTTCTTGCTCCCAATTGTACTCATCGAGCCGGCCTTGGAAAGCTTCAAGGTCTGCCAGAAGTTTTCCTTTATACCCAGCGGCTTTCATATCCTCCAAGATGGGAGCCGCGCCGAGGGTGAGAATGATCCCGCGATGAGCATGTTTAAGCTGCCGAAGGCGTTCGAGAAGAGCCGGTGTCGGCTGATAGATCACGAGTTTATTAATCTTTTTCTGGATGTCGTTGACCATCTTGTTGAAAAAGTCTAGCTGAATTCTTAAGGCCGTAAGGGACGACCTCTTGCGTATATCAAACAGGGGGCTATGTGGATGTCTCCCGAGCTCCCCAGGCGTTCCGGGAGAAGGCCCATGAATAGGGAGGACATTTACTTGTGTATTCTCTTCATTGTCGGCGAAAGTATCATCAAGATTTCCACAAGGTTCGGGAGAGATCTTTCCCTCTGCTGCAGGAGTAATCGGCGCGGATATCGCAGTGATTTGGCTATTTGGGATGGTCGGAGGTATTGTTGGAGGGGTGGTTAGACCGCTGTGGATGTCTGGTAATGATTTAATAATCGATCGCACCTCGGTGAATTCGCTGGGGGGACACAACTCCTGGGTGTGCTAATTTTCTTAGAGTTGGCTCATCAGTTGCAGAGGGAGTGGAGAAAAAGGGAGGCACTTACCTTCGAAGCAGAAGGCCCAGACTTGAACCCTTCCTCACCCTGAATTTTCTCTGCCTGCATAGATAGAAAATTCTTGTGGTTGCTAAAAATCTCTCTAAAGGGTTCCACAGTAATCGGTTCATGGCTCATGTCAAACCTTGTCGTGTCGTTTCTAGCACCAGGCTTGGGAGTAAAATGGGAACTTGATGAGCGACTGGTTTTGAAGATAATGTGAGCTCTGGTAAATATGCTACTCACCTTCTCGACACTTTGCTTAAATGATGCCGCCGGTTCCCTGGCCAGCGAATCTATTGAAGCCATGGATGGATGTGAGCTGAGAAATTTAGGGCGTGCTTTTTCCTTATTATCATTGTCCTCATTTGGCTCCGTTTTATTCTCACCGGTAAAAGAAGCTTGTTTGGATGAAAAAATTGGCATACCCTTGAACTTGAAATTCAATTTGCTGGCGATTGAGGGTTTTCGATCAGGCGCAATACTGTTCGAGCCGCTGTTTGCCCCTTTTCCTCTCTCAACCTTGGTCTGGGACTCATTGCTGATTGCACCTTGGATAGGCACTGGTGAATGGTGATTGGCAGCGGGCTCTTGGATGGCAGTATTTGGGGGTAAAGATGCAGGCAGGCTGTTAGATCTTTCCGAAACAGGGTCTATTTCATCCAGAGGCGATATTTCTCCACATCCATAAAATATTTCACTGGAAAGTGAACTCAGGGTTGAAGAACTTGTAGCGGAAAGACTCCGCTTGCGGAGGGGCCGGGGCCCTTTTTCAGGAGGATTTAGATCCAGGTCCGCTTCTGCACCTCCCAAACCATAACGGTAGTTGTCCACCCCCTTGCCTTTGCCAGATATTGTTTCATTCTCCTCTTGCTCAGGGTCGAATGCCAGAGCCTCGAGAATCTCGTCTCGGGATGCTTCCAACTCTGCTGCGTTTGGTGTTTGATCTAACCACTTCTGCATACTCACTGGTGCTAAAGGTTTCACCTCATCTGAAGTCTCCTGGGTACAGACAGGTTGCGTAGGTGAAAGACAAGCTTGGTGGAGGCGCCCCTGATCATCAACAACTTGGACCCTCGGATCCTCAACACGGGTTACCAGAAACCTATTAGTGTTCCCTAAGTCGCCCTCAGAGAGGATATCGTCAGCGCTAAGTTGGGTCGCTGTATTTCCAGCAGCTGATGATGGCACAGCCATTGAAAAGGTAACTGCATTAACAGCTTGGTGGATAGTGGAATTAGGATCTGCTAAAGCACCGGGCAACGCTTTCGACACAAGCCCAGCACGACGGGACGCTCGGTTACGTTTTTCGAAACGAAATTTTCTGGCGAGTTTTGACATCTCAGAAGGGTAAAACTTATTGTAGCGTAAAAAGCCAACCTGGGTTGTCCACAAGCTCATATTAGTTGTGAAATCTTGGCACTTAATACCAATCGTCATATTTCTCACTTACTGTTGCAACAAGATACCTGTTTTTTTTAAAAAAAAAATCCGTGGATTCAATCAACCGCAGAAATTTCGTAGATAGGCGAACGCGGAATTGAATAAAAAAGAAAAAAAACTCTGCAAACACAAAACTGCACCCTGTTTCACAGAAAAACTGTCAGTACAGCGGTAAGATTTTTCTGTCGCCACCCTCGAATAAGAAGTGTGCTTACAATTTTCTTCAGATTGATCAAACACTGCCGCGGTGCGGAGCGAGAGAAAAATATTTTTAAAGGAATGCAGAGTGAGTTGGTCAAAAAGTGTACGGTGGTGCTGTAGATATAGCAAAAAGAGGAGGGAACGGAAGGTGATGGAGCATGTAAACGATTTCATATATCATACAACAACAAGAGAATGGAGGGGCTCGGCATGCCGCAGATTTCTTGAATCAAAGAGTTACAATTCAGGCCATCGCAGAGGAATCACCAATTAGGGCAAACCCGGGATTGCCCTCTAGCCCCGACATCTTTGAGATTTCTCTAGATCTCTATGGTCCCGCCCATCATAAACCAACAAAATAGACAAGAAAGTGGCACCTAGTAAAAAATTAATACCAAACTCAAAACTAGAGAAAAAATTATTTTGCATCAGGTCCATAGCCAGGAAGCGTGTTGAAAACATGAGAATGATTTCATATGGGAGCCATAAGCATTCAAGTGTATATATAAGTGCTTACACATCTTTCATGTCTTTGTTTTGCGTTGCTCCCTGAAGTTTGTTTTCTCCTGTTGTTTTTTCTCTTATCTAACCAACCAACACATCTAATTGCTTCTGTTCCTCCCTTGCTGTTTCCTCCACTCTGCACAGTCAACAAAACCTATGATACCTCCTTTTCTTTCTCTTGACTCCACACTCAGTATACAAGAAAAATACTTATCTTGGAAAATGGTAATATTTAGGTAGTTTGTTTCTCTTTTTTGAAAGCTGATAAAACTTTTATAATTATTATTATGGCTGGTGTAATCCAAGATGTATATCAGGCTGAAGTTTGAGTATTATGTAGCTGAGCAGGCAAAAATACCAAGATTGAACTACTATAATATCCTATAAAAAATGTTATATATGCTGAGATAATAATATTATAATATAATAATATTGATTTGACAACTAAAATTGAAAAAACTAATGGTTTTGGCAATTTAAATGTGGCTTCATGTGATACATCAGAGACTCCTCTACAAAACCCTTTATTTCAATTCATTACTAGCTATTTTTTAAAGTTTTACAGAATGGCTTGGTATAAGGTATCATGCCCATGAAGTAAGTGTTTACTTAACAAAAGTGTATCTTTATACATCACTAGTATGAGAATCCTAAGTGACCCATGTGTAAGTAGACTATCAGTATAAGTTGAACCATCTTCTACATTCCAAAGGCTGTGAACAAAACAGCTAGTACTTGAAGAGTGGTCCAGAAACCTTATTGCCTGTGTAAAAGTAAGTATCAAAGTATAATCAATATATTGATAAGACCTCTTCTCTGTTTACTAATGATTTTGTCTTGCTTAGTCTATAGTCACAGTTAACAGTTATTTTTCTGCTAAGTACTTCTAGAGTCTCTCCAGTAAAAGTTCATGATTCTTTTATCCCAGAGGTTCTGGTTAAGTAAGTGGCTGCAATTCAAGCCAGCTTACCATTTTCCTTTTTCTAACTGGTATGATCAGCTCTGTCAAGAGACTTATCAAAGTGTCATTGCCTTTACAACTCAGCTACATCAATCTTGAGCACTTTTCTCTCATGACCAGACTAGTCAACTTTATAGAAAAGTCCCTCAACCATCAATAGACCACCAGTTAGCATAATACTGTGTGAGTAATTGACTGCACCATATGTCTTATCCTTACAGACATGTCTCAATAACTCATGAGAGCCTGAGTGTTGGTGATTTTGTCCTATTGCCTTTAGATCATGTCTGCAATGGTCAACCTCCCTCAGCTTGTAGCTCTGCTATTACTGGCTCAATTAACTCTATTTTAATTTTCAGCTATGGCCTCAGGTCTCCCCTCATACACCTTATAAATGGCTCTCAGTCAAACAGACAGTGATGACATATATGGTATTATAAAGCTTGGCTCATTTTCCTGATTTATAGTGATAGTATAATATATTTGTACCAGGGTGCTAGCCACATTTCTGGGTACAATAGAAATAGTATACAAGTCAATCTACAACTTGTAGGCATATTGCATAGGAGTAGGCTCCAAGGGAAAGATATATATAATAGAAACCTGAAGAGGTAACAATTCAATTAAGTATATTAAAATACTGTCCATCAAAGTCTGGTGTTCCGTTGATAGTATCAGCTGTCTTTAAATACATAAATCTATCTATGTTCAGCATGGATGATTTCTTAAGTGTTTCTCAATTAAGGAGATACTTTAAGCAGCTGGAGTATCAAAGAATACTCAAAACTACAAGTAAAACAAACTTAAAAGAAATTTTGAAACTAGATTCTAGTTTTAGTTACAGATGGGGTGCAAAACTTTATAGATACTATTATAATAGGAAAGCTAAAAAGTAGGGCCAGAGTGGGGTATTGTCTAGTGTTGTTCACGAGCCAGCTCGAGCCGAGTCCAGACCTGGACTCGAGCCGGCTCGGCTCGTGGCACCTGTGGACTCGAGGGCTCGAGCCCACGTCGCACCTAGACTCGAGGACTCGAGCCAGGCTCGAGCCGCCAAGAGCCTTGAGTCTAGAGTGGCCACGATACCTCTACACACTGCCACTATCATTCAAATCAACCAAGAATTGTATATAGCAACTTGAAAACAAATACAACTAGCCAAATGACCTTCCCACTATCCCCGAGTCCAATTCCTGACTCGAGTCGGGTCATGGACCCCTGTTTGAGCCGGCTCGCGCCTAGTGACCACCTAGGCGTGAGTCTACTTCGAGCCGGCTCGAGCCTAATGACCACCGAGGCTCAAGTCCACTTGGCTCGAGGCCCCCCAGGCTCGAAGGGCTCCAGCCCGGCTCGAGTCCGCTCGGCTCGTGCACAACACTAGTATTGTCTGTAAAGGTTTTATGGTTTTTAGGAGGTCTGTATACAGGAGAGGTCTATACATCCATATATGTAACACCATATGGATCAATGTTATTTATAAAGAAATCCATTACAGGTTCAAAAAAAATACATGCTTTAAGCTATCTGGATTTGTACTATTTTCATGCTAGTAGCTGAAAGTCTCCACTGGCACCACCCTGCGAGCACCACCTGAAATTCCTTTGATCCAGCCTGGCTGCCAAATGTGTTTGTAACAAGATACTATTTTCTGATACCAACATTTTTCAACTTAACAGCCTGGTTTTTAAAACTAGTACCAAGCACTGTAACCCTTTAAAAGTAATTGATTTATTCCAGTATCTACTATAATCAATCCCGGTTCTTTTATTCAACTGTGACGAACTAGTCTACTTGATGTGTTGCATTTAAGTGGAATCCAAAAAAAATCCAGATTTAAGTTATAGAATAGGATATACCTGGGAATTTATACATAGAAGATTCAAACCTTGAATGTCATACACCAATTACCTTTCCTGAACTGTATCCTTTTATACCAATATGATGTGTTTGGTTGGGTTCTGTAGGAGGTAGTTATTATTACCTCAAAGTACCACTGGGGGGTCTGATATTGCTAAGGGTCTGTTTCGATACGACCATTCACCTCCGTTCCATTCCGTTCCGCATACAAATTTTCTTACCCTTCCGTTTCGTAACGGTTGTTTAAGTCATTTGGGTGAATCACGTCCTTGGATCTTATCTCGCGATAGCTTCATGTCTTTAGCTCAAGGGAGTTTTTCCTCGTCTTTAATTTGTTTGGTGGGAGGAGTTTATCCCTTCCATTTATTTTTCAAGGCTTTCCCTATTCTTCTTCGCTCCCGCTTCCAGTTGAGCTAAATGGCGCCCTGGGGGTCCTCTTTGCCGGGCGGCAAGGCCGTTAAGGTCTTGTCCGCCCTCGCTGAGTTGGTTGATGAGGCTTCCACTCTGGGGAAAGAGGTTTCTCGTCTCTGGTACCATGTGTCCATCCTCGCCGCTGCCTTCATTTGGTGAAGATGGAGAGTGAGTTGTTTCTCGACTGCGTGGCCGCATTCCAAGTCTCATGCTCTTTCTCCCCCTCATCGATTTTTATTGTGGAGACGATGATGATTGGCCGTCCCCATTTGGTGCGGGGGTAGCTGAGGAGGTTTGTGTTGGGTTACCTTCAGTGGCGTCCTGCGTTTCGGCGGTGCAGTCACCTGAGCTCTTTGTAGCTGAGCCTGTGGCTTCTGAGGCTGGAGAGGAGGCTGACCCCTCGGGATCACTTACTCTTATGCTGTTCATGGGATCATCTCCCCCCCTAGTAGGGACGAGTGTGAGGCGCCCGGTCTGCCCGACATTGGCCACCGCACTACTTCCGGCCGTTGGCTGAGCTCCAAGCCGGGGAAGGTGTTCCAGGACGCGTTGACTCCAGCTCCCTTGGTGGAAGAGAGAGTTCGGGGGAGAGTGTGGTGACCGGAGTTGCTGCCTCTGCCCCTGTGTTGGGTACGAGACCCCGCGGGTGACACCGCATGAGCCATCACACGTTGGTATATGGCAACTGCCAGGCGTTAGGGCTAGCGCAGGATGCTAGTGGGCACAGTTCCACCTACATTGAGTGGGGATATTGCTGCCATGTGTTTTATCTTTGGAGAACCGCCTACGTTTGGGCCTGCGCTCCCGCACCTGTGTCCCCTGGGTGGGGAATGGATGGAGGGCACGAGGGTGTTGTGTCGGTGCTAGCGTGTGATAAAGAGGTCCAGTCTTGGCCGACATAAGTGCAGGCAGGCTTAGCCCCTCCCGGCGGGTTGGGACAATGGTTGTGCGTGCCTGGTTGTTGGGT